TTAAGTTATATAATATTCCTATTACTTTTTAAATATTTATTAATAATATCTTACGCGAATATCTAAATATATTTTATATTATTTATTTAGACGATATTCTTATCTATAGTAATATTAAAGATAAATATATTTAATATATAGAAAAGATATTAAAGAAACTTCGATAAGCTAATCTCTATTTTAATATTAATAAATATAATTTTTATATTACTAGAGTTAAATATCTAGAATTAATTATTATTATAAAAGAAGTAAAAATAAATATAAAGAAAATTGAGATTATTACTTAATAAAAGAAATTTAGATATATTAAAGATATATAAGTATTTCTAGAATTCGCTAATTTCTATTAAAAGTTTATTACGAGATACTCTAAAATCGTTATATCTTTAATAAATCTTACTTATACTTAATAGAAGAAAGACTTTATCTATTTATAAACTTAAAAATATCTTAAATAACTCGCTTTTAAAATACTTAAGAAAGCTTTTACTACTATCTCTATATTTACTTATTTTAACTTAAATAAAAAAATTTAACTAGAAATAAACGCGTCTAATTTTATAGTTATTATTATTTTATTATAAGAAAATAAAGATAAAGTACTTAGATCTATAATATTTCTCTTTAAAAAAATATCTTCTATAGAGTGTAATTATAATATTTATAATAAGAAACTTATAATTATAATATAGGTCTTCGAGAAATAATATTCTAAACTAACTAATACTCTTATCGAGAATCTTATTAAAATTATTTTAGACTATAAGAACTTATAATACTTTATATTCTCTAAATAACTTAACTCTTATTAAGTAAGATAAATAAAGTTTTTCTTCAAATTTAACTTTTATATTATCTATCGTTTAAAGAAATAAAATATTAAACTTAATAGCCTTACTTAACGAGTAAGAGATCTATCTAAAAACGAGGATAATAATTATACTTATTATTAATATCGTATAATTCTTAAAAATAATAATCTTAACGAAGATATTAAGAATATTATATATCTTATTATTATACTATTAAACGATATAAGAGAAAATATTATCTCTTTAACTATAATATTATATAAATTTAGTAAATAAAATAATATTAATAATAAGAAGTCTAATAAAGAATTATTATTAGAGGCCTCGATAGAGACTTCTTAAGAGAAGTCCTTAGAAGAATTAAGAGAAGTCTTTATTACTAATATTTCTAAGTTATTATATTAAATAAGAGATATTTATAATTATAACGATATTACTTAAAAAATTATTTAGTTAAAAATATTTAAATAGAGAAAGTTATTACTTAAAATAATTAAGAATAATCTTAAGCTAAAATTAGATAATTATTATTTTTATAATAGATTATTATATATTAATAATAGACTATATATATCGAATATTCTCGAATTACGAATTAAAATTATTAGAGATATTTACGACTTTTTATTTAAAGATTATATTAATAGATTATTAATTTATAATAGAGTAAGTAGACTTTACTATTAATTAAGAATAATAAATTTCATTACTCGCTATATTAAGAGCTATTATATCTATAAAAGATTTAAGACTTATAGAGAGAATAAATAAGATCTATTTAAACTTCTTTTTATTTTCGAATAGTACTAATAAGATATTTTTATTAACTTTATTATATTACTATCTATTTATCTTAGATATAAATATCTTTATTAATATATTATAATAGTTATAAATAGACTTAATAAAAAAAAGAAATTCGTTTTTTTAAACTTTCTAGAAGTGAAAGTAGTAGTTTAAGTCTTTATCGAATTCATATAGCGAGAGAAAGAATATCTATTTACTATTATCTCCGATCGAGATATTTAGTTTATAATATATTTTTAGAGAAAACTATATGAAAGAATTAGAATTAAACTTAAACTCTTTATTACGTTTTACTTAAAAATTAATAAATAGATAAAAAACGCTAACGCTACTTTAAAATAATATTTTAGAGCTTATATTAATTATAATTAAGATAATTAAATAGATTTACTATTAATTGCAAAGTTCGAAACTAATTTCGATAAGAACACCTTATTAAGAATATTATTATTTCTTTTTATTAAAGAATATATTCCTCGCTCGAGAATAGAATCTCTAACTTTTTAGAATTAATTCGCTAGTTAAAGAGCGAAGAGAGATATTAAATTAGCTAATAGATTTATCGAGAAAATAAATATTATAAAAAATTATCTAAAAAGTTAATTTAAATAATTATAAGCTTTATAGAAGAAATAAACTAATCGTTATCGACTCTCGATATTAGAATTTAGAGTTAAAAATATAGTTATACTTAATAGAAGAAATATTAAAATTATATACTCTAGTAAATTATTAGATTATAAGAATTTTAAATTATTTAAAATTATTAAAGCTTTAAATAATTTCGCTTATAAGTTAAAACTTCCAATTTTTATAAACGATATTTATTCTATCTTCTATTTATAACTATTATATCTCGATAATAATAACTTACTACTAGAATAGATCGAGCTTTTACTACTATTTATCGATATTAATAAAGAAGAAGAAATCTACGATATTAAAGAAATAGTTTAATTTAAGCTAAATAAATGAAAGAATAATTTCTTAATTAGTAAGAGGGGATATTTTATATATAAAATCAGATATAGAGACTTTAAGATTAAGAAAAATCTATTTTAATAACTATTTACGAATATAGTAGAATGTTCGAATCTAATAGTAAACTTCTATTATTATTACCTCGAGGTCGTTAGCCTTTATTTATTATTTAAAAAATCTTTAGAATAATCTTCTCTATTAGCGCTACTAATCTATAGCAGCTATATTAATTTATAAAAAGACTTCGATATTATAATAAAATACTAAGTTAATATATCTAAGAATATTACTTTTATCTATAAATCTAAAAAGTTTCTTTTCGTATGATTTTCGTCGGGTTCGCACTATAAGCACGATTTAGTACGATTTAGTCTATTAAGTAGACTTTATCTATATTTAATTCTTTCCGCCAGTTCTATTAGTTTAGTAACTTTAAAAAATTTTTAGTAACTTTAAAAATTTTGCGTAATGCACTCTAAGTACTATTCTATATACGGAGTATATATGATATTAATATATATCATTATTAATATACGTATTATTATACGCTATATTAGAGTATTATCTATGCGACTAATTTTATTAAATCGTCTAATTTCGTAGTTAAATTTAAGTTGACGTTGATACTCATTATCGTAGAACCTTACCGTCGCAACGTCGATTATTAGAACTTTTCTTTTTTTATACGTATTGCTGTTAAACTGGTAGAACTAATAGAAAAGATTAAGATAGTTATTGAACCGGCGGAATTTTGGCTGATTTTTGAGATAGTTGCTAAACCGGCGGAATTCTTAATTTCAGCCCTATTCGTAAGATCAGCAATTTGAAATTTAATAGGAACTTTTCAGATTTGCAGATGTTATATATATCTAGATATACTTTCTATAAGATCGATATCTACTATATAGTAGTTATCGCCGAAGCTTCGAATTAAAAAAAGAGTAATATTACGATTTTAATAATCTTACGATCTTACTTACTTATATTATAACCCAATTAAGCTTAATATATTAAGATCTTTTAATCTTTCTATCTTACTATAAAGCTTATACTTATAATAATTCTATATAGATAGTATTCTCTTTATACTATAATATATAGTTATTATATATATTATTAAGTCTCTAATACTAGCTTTAAATATTATCTAAATAATATATTCTTCGCTAGCTTAAAATACCTCTTTAGTTAAATCTTAAAAATCGAAAAAAACTTTTTAATAAAGTTAAAATTTAATGAATATAAAAGTAAATATAAGATTATAATATCTTACTTCTTATAAAGTCTTTTAATATTAACAATATAATATATAAAGTAATTATTTATAACGAGAATCGATTTTAAGTTAAAAAATAAGTTATAACGAGAGAGAACTTCGTTCTTAAGAAATTACTTAAATTAAGTATTATTAATATTATTCTAATAAATATAATAATAAAAAATATCGTCTAAGTAGTATATCGATAGAACGCTATATCGCTTAAAATATTTAATAGAAATCTATATTACTAGCCGAATTTTAAAGACTATATAGTCTTACTTTCTTTATATTATATATTTATTAATAACACTTTTATTTAAAAAGATAAGTATATTATATATAAATTTACTAATTTTTAGAAAGTATATATTACGATAAATTTATAAGCGTGCTAAGATCTCGCGATAAAGATTTTTTTTACTAATCTTTATAGAGTATAGAGTCTTTAAGATTATAAACTAGCTAATAAGTAAATTAAATTAATTAAATAGATTATACTATATCTCGTTCTAATATATTTATAATTTACTCTCGATAAAGACTCTTAATTTAATTTTTATAGTCGAAAAAATCGCGAATAATTATTTTATTTTAGTTATGCGAGGCGTAATATAAGTATTAAATATAAGAAGATTATCGATAATACGATATATAATACTCTTTTTAACGTCTTTAACGAAAATAATAAAGGCGATAGTAAGCTTATTAAGGATATACTATTAAATATAATCTTTATAAATATTGAATAGTAAAGAAAATAGTATTTTAAGATCTTCTATACGTTAGTAAGAGGCTCGAAAAAAGAAATATTAAGTATTTTATATATATAAGTAATTTTAGCCTTAACTTAACGATATAGATGATTGTGAAAATGATAATATAATAGATATGTCTATAGTACGATTTTGGATAGGGGGGGTGCTAGCCCGAATGCTAATTTTCTAGTTTTCTAATAATTAAGAATATAGGGGTAAGTTACTTATTTACCCCTTCAGCCCTATATCAGCCCTATGATAAGTAGAACAAAAACGACTTCTGAGTTGCTCCTCTGGAGGAGCAACAACAGTCCATAAGCTACTTATTTTGTATTCTATTACACGCTCTAGAGTAGCCTTCTACACATATAACACGCTATCATGGCCAAGCCTAATCCTACAGGCGTCATGGCCAGAAAGAAGCCTAAACGCGCCCTGACAGACGCCTGCATCAGCTATCTACTTACCAAGGAGGTGACCAAGGCTTTAAACAGCAGCGATTCCAGCCCGTCTGACTCAGAGACGGATCCCGTGATGCAGACATTGTTGGATACCACTAGGAAACGCACTCTGAAGCCTCGTCGGTCCATAGTCAAAACATCAGCAAATATGGACATCTGCTTGGAATGGAAGCACGAGCGACCTGATCTCTTTCGACAGCACGCTCGCATGGATCCTCAGACATTCGACAAATTGACAGAGCGGTTCGACTCAATGGCGGTGTTTCATAATGACTCTGGGCATGGACCGGATGTCGGAGCAGTGTTTAGAGAAGATGAAATGGTATTTCGAGATGCCATAAAGCTCTCTGACGTGAAAACCTGCCATTCAGATCGTCATCGCCTTAATTTATCTTGGCAGCAACGCAAGGGAGCACGAGATCGGCGCTATGTCCCGGAGTGGCATGCCGATGCGAACTCATCTCGTTCCTGCAGTAGTGCCCTGCAGGATCGATCAAGATGGCGGTACGGCTAGCCTTATAGGTGGAGGGCATGAGCATCAGCCATTGCATCGCGGAGCTCTATGCGCCCTCGTGTCGGCTTCTACCCGATTGCACATCTGAGACGAGATTCCCCCCGATCCGAACGATGCGCATATAAGCTCGGCGTGGTGGGTAAGAATTGTGGATTGTTCCTGCGGCGATGGCGCTAGGCCTGGGTTGAGAAGGCCAAGCTTGGCAGGGGTCGTTTAATGGTATCACTGAATAAAACATCCTACAGAAAGCCTTACTGCCCACAATGCAGAATCCCGAGAACATGATCCGATTTCGAATGTGTATCTATAAGAGCGGTTGAGGAGCCGCGTCACGCTGTGGACACTGGACATGATTTCGGTTAAAAATGACCTTTTACCGGTGTGTGTGTGTGTGTGTGTAATTCCTACATCGGAGGGCCGTGCCTCTATTTATACCCCTTCCCATTGAAAGGCGTAGCCTAGAGTGCAACCGTTTTTACCCACTCGGCCTTACGACTATATCCGACATCCGTATTCTATTTAAGATACGATAGATAATCGTAATAAAACCATAACTATATACATTATATTAAGAAATTTCAAAACCTTTATTATAATCAGATATCATTATACTCTATAATATATTCTAAAACTTTTTCTTTATTTCTTAAAGTCGAGCTTTAATCTCTTTATTTTATATATACTTAGATATTTAATATTTCATTATATATTATCACGTAAGAGAGAGAATAGTAATATTTATTAAATCGAAGTCGAGAGCTCGCTTCGATTCTAATCGAGATCTATTCGTACGTCGATAGCTAATTAAGAGATATATAACTATTACTTATTACTCGCTAACTTCGCTATTAAGAGAATATTTTTTAAATATATTAAATTTAGCTCTCTTATCTAATCTTTTTCTATAAAAAATCTTTATATAATTTTTATAAATGAGTTAACTCATCTATAGTCGAAGTCGAGTACTTATAATATTTAGAAAAGAGTTATTAATTAGCGAGAGAGAAAAATATTATTCGATCGAGAGGGATAAAGCTCGCCGTTATATCGATAATATTAAATTCTTTAAGAGAAATACGTTAACTCTTAATCTAACGCGTTTTATTATTTAATTTTTACTTATATATAATTAATCGTTATCGTAATCGAAGAATCTAATTATATATCTATATATAAATATATACTCTTTTAAGATCTCTTAGCTTCTCTAATATATTAAATTATAAATTTATATCTATTATAGCTAATAAGTTAAGATCTAATTAATACGTAGCAGCTGCTAAATAGATATAGAGTAGACTTCCGAAGGCATAGAAATCTTTATTAGAGGGTTCGTAGCCGGCACCACGTATAGGTGAATCTCGTTGTCAGCCGACTTTTTATCGATAGCTTTAGTGATTAAGTGATAATTAGTATTACTCTAGTTTCAGAGCTAGCAAAGCTAATTCTATCCCTTTTCTTATACTCGAAATGAATACGCTAGTAGAATTCTTTAAATAGGGCTATTAATTAGTCAAATTTAACGTCTAGCGTAGATTTCATTATTATTTAATATAATTCTTATTAAGTAATATTACGCTCTAAGTAGAGTAGCCGTAATAATTTAAAAGAAAAAAATTATTTTTAAAAATCGATAATACCAGCTTAAATACGATCTATAATAGATATATTTCTTATTAAAAATTATCGAAAATTAAGTAGAATCTCTAGGTGTTAAATTATTAAAAAAAATTCTTAAAAAGATTAAGTATATAGATAAATAATATATTATAATTATACTCTCTAGATATTACGTAATTAAAGAGTTAAACCGTATTAGAAATATCTTATTTTACGATTTATTATTAGATCTTAGTACGCGAGACTAATTTAGTAGAAGGTAATAAGATAATAGAATACGATAATAAGATAATAGAATACGATGAGGCGAAAGGTTTATAATTATGATATAGCTTTAGAACTATCTCTTATTAGTCTATACTATCTATAATAACTCTAAATAATACTATATAAAAAGAGAAAGATAATAGAGATAATCGATAACTAATAGAAAGAAGGTGAAGATAAAAAGATAGCTTGATAGGCGGTAGATAGTTAATATATAAAAGAAGAATAGTAAAAGAAGTATAATTATATAGCTATTAAATAAGCTTAAAAACAGCTATATTCGAAGAATAATCGAATCGTATACTAGTTTTATATATGCTTCTATATAATTATATATACTTACTATAACTATAAGCTTACTTTAAAACTATATTTATCTATATTATCGCTTTTAATAATTCTTATCTTTTATTATATATAAAGCGATTTAATAGCTAGAGTAGTTATATAACGTATAATAAAGTTATTTCTTCTTTATAGAGATATTAGAATTTAATAGAGTACTAAAAATACGCTTTTTTAAACTTAATATATATAATCTAGACTCGGCGATAGTATTCTAATACTTATATTAAGTATATATTATATACTTCTTTATAACCCTTATAGAATTACTATATAGCTCGACTTTAATATATTTAATAATCTAATTAAATTATTTATTATCTAGATAAGTAATATACTTATTAACTTTAGTCTTTTTTTTAAATAAAAATAGTTTCTTATATAGTCGAATTCTAAAGTCTCTATATTATCTCTTCTTCTAATAATAATTCATATAATTTTTAATCTTAAAGTCGTTAATAATACTATAATTTAATATCTAAAAGAAAATCGACTATTAGTTTTTTATAATCTTCCTCTAAATCTTATACGCTTAGCGATATTAATTGATAATATTTATCGAGTCTATATTATAGTTATAGTTATTAATATAATATAAAATCTTAAGTATCGTCTTAGACTATTTATTAAATAATTCTTTTATAGCCTTCGTATTAATAAAGATAAGATCTAGTCTTTTTCGCCACTTTTTAATAATATTACTTATTTTATTTATAATATATATCGTAGATAGCGAGAGTATCGTATTATTATTAATTTAGTCTAGATATAATACGTCGTCTATTAAAATAGCTATAAGCGTATCTTAGAATAGCTTATAATTTCATTTTTCTCTTATAATCTATAGAATTACTAGGAAATCAACGCTGTTATTTATACGAGTAATTTTATATACTTTAATATCTATAATTCGTAGCTCGTAAAATAACGAGATCGATATAAAGAGATTATTAAGATAAAGAGTATATATTTTATTAGAAGAAAGAGGAGATAATATAAGCGTAAACTAATATATTATAAATTCGATAGCTATTAGCGTTTTATATAGTTTTAATTTATCGATCTTTAAAGTACGCGAGTAATATATAAAGTTATATAGATATCTAGTCTTATAGAGAATCTAGAACTTATACCTTTATTTAATAGACTTATTTCTTATATCGATAATATACTTTAATTATTTAAAAAATCGAATTATTATCTTATTAATAATAATATTATTATTAAGTCTTTAATATCTCTAATAATAATTTCTAAAAGAAGTTAATAGAGACTTTATTTTATATTATTATTAAAGCCTCTAAGACTTTAATTCCTCCTCGATTATTACTTTTATCTCTTCTTTTATAAACTCTATAAGCGTATTATTACTTAAAGAACTAATATAGAAAAATCGCTATAATTAAATAAATCTATTCTAAGTTATAAATAATTATAATATATATACGAGATCTAATAAATCGATTAGTATAATAATAACTTACTTATAATAAGATAATGCGTACTATAAAATAGCTTCTTATTTTAATAACTTACTATCTTATCTTCTTAATAAATATCTATATAAATTAAACTATCTATAAATATCTTAATTTTATTTATATTAATAATCTATTAAGAACGCTAATTAAAATTCTTACTAGAAATTCTCGATTTAATAGAGTCTTATTCTCGAGATATAGTAAGTTACTATAAGATATATATATTAATACTTCGCGTAATAGTCTTAAATATCTCTTTAATAAAGAATAGCGAGAATAAGATAAATAGATTATCTTAATCTAGATTCGCTAAGATTTAAAGCTTCGAAATACGCTTTAATTCTTTCTAAAAAGTATTAAATATAGTTATAGAGAATTCAGCTATAGTAGTAATAATAGCGTTATTTTCTTTAATAATATTAAATCGCGATTTCTTAATTCTTACTTACTATTTTTTAAGCTTTCTTTCTTTTACTAAAACCGCTTTCCTCTTAGTCTTAATAATCTTTTTACTATTCTCGTTTTTATTACTATATTTAATTAATTATATAAAAATAATAGTATTTATAATAGCGTTTAAAGTCTTCTCTATAATATCGCTAGAAATTACTTTAATAGTTTAATTAATAAAAATAATAACTATAATATTAGTCTTAATCTTTTATTTTATAGCCTTCTTCTTTACTTTAGTTATAATATCTTTTTAAATCTTTCTTATAATAGATTTTTTTTTAATATATTTAAATCTTCTTTAACTCGTTTCTCTTCTTTATTAATATAATAAATATTAGACTAAAGCTTTTAAAATTCGATATTAGCTTTTTTATAGACGATATTAACTATATATTCTAAATTATTATAGAGAATATCGAATTTCTTAATAATAACGATATTAATAAATAGGAGGATATACTCCTATAGCTTATCTCTAATAAGCTCTTTCTTATATTTCTAAGTAATTAATCTTCTAACTCTTTTAGAAGATTATCGCGTAGATTTCGATATTTTACTATTAATTTTAAACGTATTTAATAATATAATAATTTCTCTTTTAGACTCTCGTTTGATAGTATAAATAAATTCGTCTTTTAGAGATTTATAATTAACTAATACTTTAGAGGTCTAAATTTCTTTATATATAATATTATCTAGTTTTACTCGCTTTAAGAAAGTATATATAATATTATTATTATACTTTTTATATATTATTAATAATATTAAAAATAAATTAATTACGCGTGTCTAAATAGAAGATTTATAAGAGATTTTAATAGATAGAGAAGTTTAAATTTAACGAAATTTTAATATAACGAGAAATAAGTTAGTGGTATAATCGATGTAAGCGATATAGTCTATTTCTTTAACTTAGTTTTAATATATTTTTATATATATAGAGGGTAATTAATATATAAACAGCTACTCTTCTAATTTAAGGGCGTAAATCTTCTCCGCGTAAAGTGGCGAAAAATAATGCCAAGACGGCCGGAATTACTTTGATCCCCCCCTACTAGCGTGTCCATCCCGAGCACAAGGAAAGGGATAAAGGTACCCTCGTTCCCACGTTGTGGCGGTGGCGACTGCCCAAAGTGTGTTCTTCAACTAAAGCATAATCTGCGTACCCTGATTCCTCGGAGCCGTACCAGTGGCGCAATACAGAGGCCATTCTCAGCCTGTAGGCTGTCATTCCGACACATGGCCGCAGCGCAGAGGAAGAGCAGGAGCATTCCGAGCTGGCAGCAGTAGCCGAATATCAATTTTTCTGGATTTGAATGAATGAAACAGTGAACTACTGTATGAACTCGATTCAAATTTTCAGCTAACACGGCAAAGAAGGTTCTTCCTTACAGACTACTAGCAGTGAAAGTCTAAGGAAATGGGCAAGGAAGATCAGCTTGACACCGGACCGAATTCCCTACGGCAGTAGGTTGCCGAAAGCGCCATTCATCTTATCCGGGAATCCGTACGGTTTCTCCGAGGTGCATCCCCTATGCGATTGTTGCATTGTTGCACAGGAAAAGCGAAAAGAGCGAAGCGCCTTGGTGACATCCATGCAGATCTGCAGCTTGCCTTGCCTACCACGCGGGTTCCAAAAAAGCCTGTTTAGTGCTCGCAAACAGTGAGGCCATACAGAAATAACGCATGCACAAGTAGATATGTAGATACGGTATATGATTGGGCATATCCAACACTGGGCAGCTAAGACTTTTCTGGACATGCAAATAGGTAGCCCAGAAAAGCCCCCCAGCGCTAAGAAAAACTCCCATGTCTGAGCGACATGCCCTGGAGTGAAAATGAAGCTAGGTATACATAGGTGTGGGTGGGAGGGAGAACAATGATATGGCTCTGAAAGAGAACAATTCGAATGAAGAGCCCACTACTGGTGCAGTGGCCATACAAATAGTACTCGCCATGTCCACCTGTCTCCCTCCTATCGCATATATCGCATATCGCATAATGATGGGACGGCTGATCAAACAGCCACCAACGCTATGGCCTCATAATGGACCCACTAACCCACAGTCCCACTGTTGCGAATACGCCAAGAACTTCCCTTGTTTTACTCTTTGAAATAACTCTACCAATATTGTCTTTACAGGATATGTGTTGCGGTGAGACTTATTGTTACCGATGTAATCTTTGACATATATAGCGGAAGCCTTTTGTTATGACCACTCGTTGACAAGTTGTGGTAGATTTGCAGATTTTGGGGTGCGCAGGCTTTTTTTGGAACCCGCGTGCCGGCCAAACCTCGTGGGCGTTGCTGGCCCTGGAACCAGGGTGGTGCTAATTGCCACTCAACCACGGGAGCTACCGGCAAAAAGTCATCCCTAAAGTAACTGAAATCATGTCCAGTGCCCACACATTGACATACCCCCTTATCTCCCCATCTTTGGTACTCACGAGATTCTAGGTTCGATTCCTAGTGGGCACACCAAAATATCACACCGTCAGTAGGGTGGCACGAGTAAGGGATAACATGTGTAGAAGAGGGTCTGTTGTATTGTGTAGGTATCTGAGTGCTATTTGGCTATGAAATTATTTCATGTCGCGACGCTAGCTGCAAAAGTACTAGCATGATTATCGGGCCGACAGCGTAGTGAAGAAGCTTAAAGCTTAAAGCGACCCTCTGCCCACATAATCTTAGCTGCCCACTAGCAGCGCTAGAAATAGATGTACGAACCCTGTATCTAGCGCTCGCCTAACCGCTCCTATTTTATCCTCAATACACTTTTACAACACGAAACCAACCAACTGGTCACGATGCTTGAATTGAAGCCATTGGAAGGGATATTTCGCTTCGGTAAAAGTGGAAAGGGCCCTATCATGTGAGTCTTACCGCGATGTTGGGTGAGGGTTGAAATTTATGCTACCAGGCGAGGTTGAGGCTGTTGCTGAGTATCATATACCTATTTGGTAATAGCACCGGAAACATCGCTGGAATGCTCCACGGTCACTACATGCTCTGCCTCATATTTCAATGCTCTATTCCAGAAAGACCCCACTCACAGTCATCTGCAAGTCTCACACCTTTACAATGCTACCTCGCTGTCATAACATCTTTTGGCGCTAGCCATTCTAGCTCTGATGAGGCTCCTGCACTAATCAAGTCTGCTCGTATTCTGTCGCCAGATCTACCACAACCAACATTCCTCCATGCGCGCGGTAGCTGTGTAAAATGCGTTCTCCTATCTTCAATGACTTCGCTGTTGCTAAATTGTCATGTACGTCATCTCTATACATTTTACAGTACGGCCGGGGTGCATCTCAGGCAAACGATCAGCACGGCTAAGGTTGTACAATCGTTAAGTGACCGTTCAAAAACGTGGCTTCAATAATACAGGAACGGAATCCTTCCGGGAAGCACGAGGCCTTGCTTAACCGTACAGCCCATGATGGCAAGATCCGTAGGCAAACTGCCTCCGTCGTAGCGTCCGCGAGCTCGTAAAGCAAGCTTATCCGGTCCAATACGTAGTCAATTCGCGAGCTTTCAGCGTTCTATTCTCTCCCCAGTGAATGTCGAGCTTTGCTATTCTTCACGACCGTTGCGTCCAGAACAACCTCCGAAAATTGGATAGCGGATTCAGAGAACTTCTTGTGTCAATAATATAGGCCCTCACGCTCCTTTGAAAACGCTCCTTCATATTCCGGCATCACCTCTTCAGTCATTCTTTCATGATCTTTGCCGGGAATACTTTCTTTCGGCAGCAAGCACCATCAACGTCAGCTACCAGAATCTAGAGGTGAAAATTTCAAATCATACATTCCTAATACATATGGAACACCACTCGCTTCGATAACATAAAAGGCCACCACAGTCCTGACTACCCAGCACAAAACACTTCCTGGAGAGTACAACCTCGAGTCAAGTTCAGTCCTAATTCAGACATGACTGCTTCTGTTGCTGCCGCCGCCGCCGTAGCCAGCATCGCTGCTCTCAGCGCTCTGGTTCCAGCGCTGCCCCAAACGGTCACCAACGGTGCTTCGGTGCTGGGTACTCTCTCAGCCCCAAGCCTGTCACTCACCGGGGTGGATGGTATCGTGTCCTGGGGAGCCAATACAGTCAGCAACTACAATCCCTACCTCACAGACTTTAGCAGTGGTAGGTAACATCACATCTCGGGTTCATTTTCTTGTACGTTGACAGTCTCTACAGGTCGTCAGGGTCCTACATACAATTTCAATATCGCTCGTGGCTTCATCTCTCCCGATGGAGTGAACCGAAGCTCTATTCTTATCAACGGGGCATTTCCGGGTCCGACCATTGAAGCTAATTGGGGCGATACCATCACCGTGAACGTATGTAATCAGATCACGGGCCCTGAAGAAGGCACTTCTTTACATTGGCATGGACTTCTGCAAAAGACTAGCCCTTGGTTTGACGGTGTTCCTGCTGTCGAGCAATGCCCTATCGCCCCTGGAACATGCATGACCTATTCCTTTCTTGCGGATGTTTATGGTACATCTTGGTATCACTCTCACTACAGCGCTCAGTACTCTGCCGGTGTCGCTGGAGCTATGATCATCCACGGTCCATGCCAAGAACAATATGAGTACGACGTCGGACCAATCCTCCTCAGCGACTGGTATCATCAAACATACGAGCAGATCGTCGACGAAGTCATGGCTTCTCCCCCTAATCCTCTTCCTCCGTTTTCTGATAGCAACCTGATTAATGGCAAGATGAGCCTTGATTGCGCTCAATTCCCGAACAAAGCCGAGCAATGCACATCGAATGCCGGCCTTTCCAAATTCCAATTTCACTCCGGCAAGAGGCACAGACTTAGGCTCATCAACAGCGGCGCTGAAGGCATTCAACGTTTCACCATTGATGGCCACAAAATGAGAGTCATTGCCAACGATTTCGTACCCGTCGAGCCGTACACTACCGACATGGTCACTCTAGGTGTTGGTCAACGTACCGATGTCATCGTCCAGGGCACTGGCCCACCCAACTCCACCTTCTGGATGCGCTCTGATCTCAGTCCTACTTGCGATACTGCCAGTCACCCTTATGCCTTGGCCGCCATCTACTACGAACATGCGGATACAAATTCCGTGCCCAATACCACGGCTACCCCCTACGATGACAGCAAATGTGGCAACGTATGCTGCTTCCATCACTTTATAAACCGCAAGACCACTAACCTTTAGCAGGACGATCTCTCTTTGACGACTCCATACTACAAATTCTCACCGACCAAGGACCCTGCAGTAACTCAAGACCTCACCATCACAGCCCATACCAACGACAGCAATGTCTTCCTCTTCTACGTGAACAACCAGACCTTCCGCGCCGATTACAAGTAAGTCTCCCGCACCCCACCCCACCCCTCCCACCCACCTATCCCACCCACCCCCCCCCACTAACCCCCCTCGCCAGCGCCCCCATCCTCCCCCTCGCCGTCGCCGGCAACCTCTCCCTCCCCGACCCGGACTGGCAAGTCCACAACTTCGGCACCAACGCCTCCGTCCGCCTCGTCGTCTACAACACCTTCGTCGCCTCGCACCCCATGCACCTGCACGGGCACAACTTCAACGTCCTCGCCGAGGGCTTCGGGACCTGGGACGGCACCGTCACGCACCCGCGCAACACGCAGCGCCGCGACGTGCAGCTGGTCCAGGGGGGCTCGCCCGAGAACCCGGCGTACCTCGTGTTGCAGTACGACACGGACAATCCGGGCACGTGGCCCTTCCACTGCCATATCGCGTGGCATGTCAGTGCGGGGCTGTATATCAATACGGTCGAGCAGGATGTTCTGTTGAAGGAGAGGCGGTTGCCGGCCGTCGTCGATAAAACGTGCAGGGCGTGGAACGCTTATACGGCAGCTCACGTGGTGGATGAGATTGATTCGGGGGAGAAGAGGCGGTTTGCGAGGGATTTTTCGCTCGGATGAGGGTGGGGTTCTGCTGGGGGGGTGAGGGATGCGCGCGTGTGATGACTTTATGAGGGAATAATCCATCTAGAGGGTAAAAATGTCTCCGTGTATGCTGCTCTTGGAGATCAGGTCGTGTCGTGCATTCTTGGACGCTAGGGGCGCTCTCCGGGTCGTCCTGTGCATCGCTCCTTTTTAATCTTTTTCTCTCATAGACCACCAGCATCCCACAAAACCAAATATAGATCGAGTCTCACCAACTCTCCCACATGCAAACTCGAACCACGCAGCCTCCAGCATAAATTTACATACAGCACGTGACCACCGACAACCACAATCCCTTACCCAAAAGACTGCCACCCTACCGAAGCCACCTATCCTGCCATTCTGCAAATTCCACAAACGCGCCTAGCGCGCTCTTTCAACACGCCGACAATCTTTCCGATTTCCAACCCCGATCAACCACACAGCAACGAAACAACCCCCGTATCCTTCTCTAATCTGACGATTTCCGCCGGCATGGATGTCCACACTTGTGCATCGATATCGCCCCCTCTGCGCGCTCCGTCCCTCCGATATCCGGGCGCCGGGATCGGACAGGTCACGGAGAACGGATCGTTTGCGGTGCGGGAGGGATCTTCGGTGTCGGATGTGCGTCTTGGGTGTTTGGTCGGGTCGAATACTAGTAGAGAAGTGACCATCAGCCATTTTCAGCCATCGCTTTGCAGTCGCTGGCTTCACCATTCTCAGATAGACGCCGACAACGCCTTGAGTGTGAGCACAGCTAACCACTAAGCCATAGGCCCAGTAATTGCGCGGCATATCGCGCTTTTCTACACGAATACACCCTATCAAGCCCTATAAGCTTAGGTGCCAGGTCAGGCCTGACATTAAACACGCCGACCAAATTTGTCTAAGTACGGTACTGTGTTGCAGTCATGCAGGCGTTTTTCATTGCACTATCAGCGGCAGAATGTTGCACCCTCCCGAGCGTAGGTAGTAACACCGTAGAAAGGAGCCTTCAGAAGCTTGTCTACCCCAACAACGCGCCTGATCTGCTGTTAGCTCGAGAAAAGGTGAGGTCACGGACCTCTAGATTAGCTGTCTTTACTGGACCTGACTGTGCGTATACAAGGTAGAGCGACACCAAAGTCCGTGTTTAGTACGGCGACAGGCTTTTGGCCAGCTTCGATGGCCTGGACGTCCAGATTTAGCAACTTTGTCAAGGTGAGTCTATAGAAGTAGTTGATGCACTTGCCAGTGCGCATGGTATCCGCGGAGGTGCTTGAGAATACTTTTACTGTCAAAAATTAAGGTGGGACACATCTATATGTGTTATGAACGAAGGTGCGATTATGTACTTCGTACCGGACGCTAAGGCGCATCACGTGACCACCAGCCCTCAGTGCCAAGCAAAATTTCAATAGTCACTACTAATCCGCAATCACAATCTAAAGGCAGTACCATCTCAACAAAACCCGTCTTCTTGCCAATACTAGAATCTCCTATACTTTTCACACACTGTCTCTTCACCTCATCTTTCTTCGGCAGTCAAGCGATAGGGTTTGACGCCAGCTCTCGACAACAGTTGACGTTTCCACGGTCACAAGGCTCTAACCTCAAGTCGACCTCTCACCGTCTCTCAACTCTCACCTCACGTTCATCATCGTCATGGCTTGTCGCAAGGCCGCACAAAGATTCGGGAAGCAGGCCGTCCGCAAATCCGTCCGAGCCCCAAAATTCCCGGCGGACCGTCTACCAGCAGAGCTCATTCATATGGTCTTTACGTATTTGAAGCCTACTGAGGCTGCCGGTTTTCGCTGGGCGGGAAGGGTTGTTGCTGAGATCGGCCTACAATATCTGGCTCCAACGGTCTACCTTACGCTCAAGGAGGAGAGCTATGATCGTCTTTTGGCTATTGCTGGACACCCCACTGTCAGCAAATATGTTGTCGAGCTTGATTACGAAACGGAGGGTCTGAGACCCATGGCTCGTGAAGATTTTGACCGGATGATCAGAAGGACAGGTGTAATACCTCAGCGAAACGACTCCTCTGAAAGACCGGATTCCTGCGCGAGCGCACGTGCCTGGCGAGCTTATCAACGAGAATCTCTTCGTAACATACCAGTTTTCAACCAGAGACAGACCAAGCAGCTATTGAATCGAGCTTGGTCGATGTATGAGGCAGATTATGCCAGTCAAAAGAAGGTCCAACAAGCGAACTTCTTTCGCGAAAAGACCGCAAAAGCGATCAAGCAATTTCCGTATCTTGAGAGAGTTTTCACATCTGCAGATGGTGCCTATGAGCGCTATGCTGCTGAAATCAAAGGTTTCCTGCCAACGTACTACTTCTCACACTGTTCCGCTCACAGATATCCATCAAGCGTTGGCGCCACCAGCTCCGTTCTGTTGGCCGCGGAGTCAGCTGGTCTACATCTCGACTATTTCCGTTGTTCTATCAACTGGCAGGTCTTTACGCAGAACGAGAAAGATCTCGCCACTTTTAAGAGAAGCTTACTTCATCTCAAGGTCATGATTATAACTTTTACCATTCCGCGAGACATGCGTCGGGCCCGCATGGTTCAGGAATATACATACATTCGTTGGCAATGTCTGGAGAACGGACATGTGCTGGATCTCATCACGTCTTCACCAGATCTCGAGCACCTCGCCCTTAGCTTCGAAACGTTGCCGGAACCCATCTTCTATCCGACGTTAAATGAAACCATGGGCAACTTCTACTGGCATTCCTTGAAGACTGTCAATCTCGAAAGTCTATTCTCGGACGATGACGACCTGTTGATGTTTTGTAAGAGACACGCGCACACTCTCAAAGACCTCTCACTCACAGACATGCGACTGCACAAAGGTTCATGGGATGTGACATTCCACAGGATGCGCCAGACTTTCAGGCTCGGGGCAACAACTTGCTACCTGCAAGCTCCGTGGATTGTTTTGGAGCCCCGAGCGTGTTCTTAACATGGGGCCCAGGGGCGAGGGGCATAACAATGCAGCAGGCATAGTGACTTCAGACTATATCCGAGCTACTAACATTGGAGACATTTCGCTGGATGAATACTATGAAGCTGTTGGGCTCAAGTAGCCATCTCAACCTTTCTCGGCTGGACTGGCGTGGACCAGAGCGAGCAGATGCTCTGCTGCGTCCTATCAGCCTTCCGATATGGCATCGCCACGACAGATCGACGTGTCCTAGCAAACGTTTTGCATCCAACCTCTTCCAAATTATTGTTACCATTCGATGATCAAGCTTGCAGCTGGCAGACGATGCCAACGGGTCAAGAGGTGGATGAATGGTAGCGTTGTCTTGATACATCATCCTCTCGGCACACTTATTTCAGAAGAATAAAGCTCCCCCTGGACCCTCAACACGCCATTGCGCTCCACGGTGGAGCTTGACATAACTCTAGATCGGTGCGGCTACAGTCATGTATCTAGGAAGGAGCTTGGCATCTCAAGACTGTAGCAAATTCCAACAAATCATGAACAAGTGATCCCCAACCTTACCCATTCTACTCCCATTATCCCAAATGCGCCAGCATCATTTGCCCAGCAAGTCTGGTCAAGTAGCCCATTCAGCATTATCTTTGAAACCTTTGAGAAACTCCCTGATTCAAACGGTCGTACTAGCGTTTGCCACCCTATAGTTTTCCACCTCAGCCTCTCAAATAGCTAAGCCAACCACCATGCAGGCAGCCGCACTCCTTACACTTCCAGTACATCCAACCCCGTTGCTTACCTCCTTCTTTCTCCCTCTCCCTCTCCCCCCTCCGCATGTTTCCATCTCCTCTTCCCAAGATGAAACCAGTCTTTGATACGGACCATTGCTTACCATGGACTGACTTGCCGTCTATAAACCATACGACGCATCTGACAATCGTATCGGCGCCCGATCTATCCATCATAATCCTCTGATAATATTCCTGGCTGAATTTTCACTCGCCGTACTTTATTTCTGCAAAGCTTCTCAGGTATTCAGCTACGCCAATGATGCATCCTTGATGGTAGAACTAGGATCATCTGTCTTTGCAAGGATTGAAATCTTCACAGCAGAGCTGATGTGTCCGTCCTTTGATCAGTCCTCGCCTCGATCGTCTTGCAGAAGAGCGTTGGTGCGCCGCTTCGCACATCTCGAATCACACTTCCAGACATCGACATAGACACACCGCGGGCACGATTTGGACGAGGTTGAAAACTTTTGCGACTATCGATCTACGTGCTGAACCGGTCAGGCACGGGTAGAAGGTGCGACACTGGCTTCGTCCAGTGGCCTCTCTCCGTGAGACATCTGCCCGGCAGCGCACTGACCACCAAACAAGTTGGACGACACATATTTCCTCTCCGTAGCCAGGTGCCTGACCCCCTGCGCATTTCGATAGGGTTCTTCTCATTCAACTGCTAAGCTGAAATACAGGCGATCGTTCGCTCGTAGCTATTGGAACGAATAAATGGCTGTATGGAATAGATTCAAACCGAGGTTTCATTTGCACCCACACCGTTCATGATAAAACTATATATTTCCCAACCCGATCGCACAAGCGCGAGGCCGATTCCAGACACCGACTTCATCCATCCGATGTGCGATTTCGCGTCCTTCCCCCAAATCCATGTCCTCACAACAGCACTCCCCCCCGATACACGCAAGCGCTAAACCCTCAATCCCGCATCCACTCTCCACGGCTCAGCACGGAAAAGAACAATCCATCTGCCGTTCCGAATTCGTCAAGATCCCAACCTTGCCTCCGTCGCACACAGGCCCACCCCTCGGGTTCCAACCCCCGGCTTTGCACTTGGCCCCACCGGACGGCGTATTGCTGGTCCAGGAGAGGTGGTCGTACGTGAATCGGACATAATCGCCCTGGTGCTCGCCCACAATGACGAGCGGATACGGCAATTTGCTCTGCAGGCTCAGCGAATTGTCGGCGTTGATACTCACACCCAGGACGCTGGGATCATTGTCCGTCTGGCCGATGACGTTTTTGTCGTTGTCGAGGAGTTTGAGTGTGGCGTAGAGGTCTTTGTCGTCGGTGTCGCAGTCCCAGTACTCGTCGAGGTGGAAGGAGCAAGTGCCCTTGGCGTAGGTGGGGCTTGCCTGTGGGGATGTGGTGGTCGTCGTGCTTGAGGAAGTGGTGGGCTTGGTGGGCTTGGTGGTTGTGGTCTTCGTGCTTGGTGGAGTGGCGATGGTCTGGACGCCGAGGTCTGAGAGCCAGGAGGAGACGGAGCTGATGTAATCGGATGGGTAGGCTGAGCTGGGGGCCAGAGCGGAGATGGTCAAAGCGGTTCCAGCCTTGGGACCGAGCTGGTTTTCGCTGCTCGCGACAATTGGGTGAGATGTCAGTCAGTGTGTCTGTAAGAGAAGGGAGATGGCCAAGAGAACAGATCGCTAAGCATTCAGGGAGGAGAACCCACTTATCTACACATCCGGGATAGTCCTGATCATCAGTACTACTACTAATATCAATGCCCAATGCAGCAAGCTGGTCTGCGGTGCCGTTCAAGTACGTTTTGTCTCCGCCCGTGATGAATTCTGCGACTGTGCCAATCGGGACATCTTTCCATGGCGGACCGTTAAGCTCACTCGTTACGAGGGGAAGGTGCGGATAGATATTGCCATTCTTTGACATAACATATAATGCTAGCGCGTAGTATGCAAGATTATCCGCTTATAAGGTCAGTGGTGGATGGAGCTTCAAGAAATGCAACAGACCACATACCGTTTTGTTGAGTATAGTAACCCGTATTCTCCTGGTAGCGAGCCAGAATTTTAGCGTTGGCCGTGCCGTATGCCACTGTATAGACTGTGGCTGGAATGCCAGTACCGCTGTTGAGATCGATTGCAATAGTAAGATCATTTACGTACGGGTTGGGGCTCGGAGAATCGGCCGCGAGATCCAAATGAGTCAACTCGTGAAAGAACGTTTGAGCTCTGGAATTGTAATTTGCGAGGTTGTACCTATCGGGAACTGGTAGAGCAGTCCCGGTAGCAAGCTTACTGGCTAGGCTGTCGCGTTTGAAGTACCCTCTGCAGAAGTTGATCATTGGGTATCCGTCGTCTGGGTCTGAGTTTCGAGAGTAGGCAAAGGGTGTAGGTCTTGGTTGCTGGCCTGGATTTTGTGGGTTCGGTACGCAAGGGTTACCTGGTGGTCGTCTCTGACATCTTTTCAAAGGATCGTCACACCGCACGTGGAGCCAGTGTTGCACCGGATTCTTGTAGCTGTAGATCATAGTAGCCATGTTGGCGAAGACCGCTTGCATCTGTTTCTGTTGGGGGCCGTTCAAGCCGGGGGGTCCTAAATATTCCACAGCGGGCTGCGTTCTTAGTGGATAGGTACATATATATTGCAAAGCACGCTACCTACCGCAGAGTTAAAGTTAATGCCTGACTTGACACCAGCAGCATTGGCAATGAGCCAGGAATCATAGTATCCCTCATCGATGTAACCATAGTAGTATTCCTCCCAATCAGCGTTGTCACAGCCATCATATCCGTACAGTAAGGTGCCAAGTTTGTTCTGGGTCCCAACACTTTCAGTCGAGTCGGCAGGATTGACCTGATATGTCCTGGAGCCGGTGTTGGTTGGCTGAGCTGTCAAGGTAGGGGGAACACTTGTGTCGACTTCAGAGTCAAGAGGGTCGGAATCTACCTGACCAAGTGCAGGCAAGGACGTGAGCAGGATGACTGATACAAAGCATAGAAATGAGTGCATATTGAAAAGGATGCAAGGCTGAAGACCGTATGCACAGCGAGAAGGAGAGTTCAGAGACTTAGCCCTAAATACTTTCGGGTCAAAGAGTATTAAGGCTGCAAACGATAGTTACAACATGAACATGAGTGTGCTGGCTTTATAAGTTCTCCGGGCTGCGATATCAACAAATGAGAATCGTTGCAACGCCTCGTAGTATCTCTTCAGAAGACGCGTCACGCAAATATTCTGCACCCCAATGACCCTGTACATTCGTACCTATCTAAGCCTACCAACGAGCTTTTGTTACTGTTGGTGTTTCGCTGAAGATGCGTTGACGCGTCATATGCTCCTGTAACAGAAACTTGCCGCTAGCTATTTCCCACCTCTTTTCGACAACGATGTAGGAATCACTAGCTCTAGACATTTTGTGCTATTTGTAAAGACACTCGGCACGGTAAGACGAAACCTGTGCGTTCGATATCCAACATCGTTCACGCGTTGTTGAAGGCTCCATAATATTACTTACAGTTTTCAAGACTCCATAGGCAATAGTGACTCAAGTCCGTAGTCATACGCCACTATAGTATCGCGTGTGCGTACCTCGGTGCCTCCGGGGTAACTGGTGCAAGTTGCTTGATAAGTGTTCCGCCAAATTTGGCATTGGTACCATCCTAATGCCAAGAGCAATAGGGCCTGGGAACTTAGATGCGCTTTTCTCGTCACCACATGTGCACACAATCACGTTAGCGCCCGTCCTCTTGTCAAGTGGTGTTGGCCTGAGCCTTCTCAATGGTCAGACAACGTCTCCATCATGTCTCAACGTTCAAAACAGATGTTGAGGGTTAGAAGACTACATCATCTTACGAATTTGCGGGACTGCGGCGAGGCAGGAGATGATGTACCTTAGAGGACTTCGCCTTCCATGATTCGTTGATATGGCGCAGGATGTTACGACTTGTAAGATGAGGAGCATCTCCCTTAATTCGGCAACGCGTTCGCTATTAGCTCTACCGAGGATCTGCCGAAAAAATGGAACACGGTAAGATAGATTAACCGTCATCCTCAGCCCTACCCGCCCAATGACTTCTTGAGCTTCTCTCTTCTTAGCGGCCAGGGGATACAACGAGTGCATGTTTCAGGTCAGTGAGAGTGTGGCACGTTTAGGAGATCCATCCGCGCTGCATCAGGATTCCCATCTCCATCGTCTTTCGCGTATTCACCGAGCCATGTGATTCGATATGCAAGAACTTTTGCAAGTAAGGAGACCTGCGACTCTTTGGATTCGATCTCACAACACCCACCGGCACCAGCGTCCCACCATGGTACTCCTGGGGCTCTATCTCTTGGCACTACTAACCAATTGAAGGCACAATTGCGAATTCCTTGTTATGTTGACGCGTAAGCATGGTGTTTGAGGTTGCGGACATTTCCGCAATCTAGAATGTGGCATTTTGGCAACGCTTCATTACCGCTATTCGGGTTTCCTCCTCTCGCTTACGGCCGTGGCCTCCATAGTCGACATAGCCCAGTTTACAGACTCTGACTTCTGAATGGGCCCTCCTTATGTATGGGCTCTATCCGAATCACGGCTGGAGCGTCAAGATCGGTGAACAAGCACCTACGCCGATAAACCATTTCAAGCATTCCCTTACTGCTTGTGCTAAGACGTAATCCATACCATTGTGGATATGCTTTACAGGTGGCATTCGAGTCCATTGAGGGAAGCTATCACCTTGTACGGCGACATCCACCCTCGGGCTCGCGCCTTGCCCGGGGTCTGGGGTGATAGGATAGCGCCTCTGCTATGTGTCTTCGCTCTAACGACTTGCTCTCCGCTGTTGGTCATGGTACGGAGAAGGTAGAAGTCATGCTATCCCCTTATTTGGCAACATCCACCCTCCATTCCTTGGCGTCCACTATGCTCGAGGTTCTTGCCGAATAAATGGATAGGACAGCTCCGATGTGTCTATTCCCTGCCCTTCTTGCAGCAAGACATCTACCTAAGATGATGAAAGTATTCACCTTGTCTTGCATTGCTCCACTAGGATCATCTAACCCCCATGCTGCAAGGGGATCGCGTTGATCGCTCCTCGCGCAGACCAAGGTAGTCTCAATAGCGAGCCGGGCTAACTTCTATTGGTATTGAACCCTGAGACGTATCGCCCATACTGGCTATTTCCTTGGTAAGCTAAGAAGCTGTGTGACGATTATCTTAAGCTTGGATTCTTTCCGCTTCCTCTGATGCCAAAAGCTAACATCAACTAGTGGTCTGAGAATCGATTCCCTCCCTTTTTGGTTACACTGTGGGAACGATGACAGGTTTGAAATGATCACGGGAGAGCTTTGGAGAGGTTTACCAAAAAAGAACAACAAGAAAGACCAAGACTACCTATGTAGCATCGAACAGCCAGTGGAGGTCGGAATTGAGAATGGTTGGTTCAGACGCTATTGAGCTTATCGTTATGCATAACGGTTCATGGTCAGATATGAAATGGTCCCAGCTCGCTTAACGAGTGTTCAACTCATTAAACATCAGACCATTTGCACGTCGGGGCTGCAAGCGTTGGCGTACCCGCCCCCTGTTCAGGAGCATCGCAACGCACCAAAATGAAACCAGACTAAACCGCGACGCGCGTCAACCACTACAACTTAACTAGGTAGGTAGTTGACTCGCTCAATCCTTCACATCTCACCTTGTTTTCGCCCATTGGTGCATAAGCTTCGCTACCTTACTTTGTTGGTGGGTGGGCGCGACGGAACGGTGTCGAGACGGTGTCTAGTGAGGCATGAGACGGTGTCTCAGTCGGACCCCCTCCCACTCTACGGAGTCCGTCCCAACCTTTAGTACTCCCGGTCCCGGGCCCGTTCCTAGTCCGCAAGGTACTCTACAGTGCTGTTGAACAGGGGGCGGATACGCCAACGCTTGCCGACGTGCAAAGGGTCTATAGGGCTGATCACAGAGTGCTTCCCTCAAGGTACCTTACATTATTGACTATTGGCTCTGCTCTTTTCAAATCCAGATTGCACTCCAGCGCCGTGATAGAGCCGAGAGCCGAGGTACGATGTTCGATAATGACCAACCGTTCTTTACCTTTTTAGAATTTTAAAGTTTTTATATTTTTAAAAGTATAAATTACATTTTAAAAATTAAAAATAAAATTGAAGATTTTAATAAAAAATAAAAAGAATATTTTAAAGTTTAATTAATATATCTATTTTTTTTATATATAAGAAGACTTAAAAGGGCTACTGAGTTAACTTAGATAGTCTGGTTAACAAAGCGTAGCGGTAGTCTCACGTGATGAAAGTCACGTGCCGTACGAGCATAGAAATTTGCGTCTGCCATCTTCTCGTGCCATAAATTAACGGAGTACCAGAATTACATCACCTTTCTCCCAGCGCCCACATTCCTCTCCATCTTCTACCTCCTACCACACGCCACTTCAACCAAACCCACCAACCCGCGCACGAATCTCTCCAGCAACTACCAGCAATGCTCTCCCTCACTCCCCACTCTCCGCCCCCCCCTCAGTACCACCCTCCCCCCCTTCCTCCCCCCATCCGCACCCACCACTAACTCCCCCTCCAGCCCCACACCCTCTGGTACGCCTCCCTCTCCGCCGGCCCCCCCGTCCCAACCCCACCCCACCCCCACAACAACAGACCCGCACCAACCCCACCACGCCCACGCCCACGCCCACCGCACCAACAACAACAACAATCCCCACCAACGCACCCACCTCTCCATCCTCCGCGAGCACGAAACCGCCGTCCGCCACCGCAAAGCCAACATCCGACGCTTCGGCGCCGGCTGGCTGCGCCCGCCGGGCGTCGGCAAGACGCTGCAGGGCATGGCGGACGAGCGGGCGGAGCGGGAAGAGGGGGAGGTGGCGCGGGCAAGGGAGTATGCGCTTGCGGAAGCGCAGGCGGCGGCGGCGGCGGAAGCGGAGGCGGTGGAGGTTGTGCCTGGGGAGGAGGGGGAGGGGGAGAGGGATTTGGATGAGGAGGTGCCGGATGCGGATGCGGATGCGGATGCGGATGTTGAGGGAGAGGGGGGGTGGAGCGATGCGGAGGAGGATGAGGAGGAGGGGTTGGAGGGGGCGGAACAGACTTTGCTTGAGGAGGGGGAGGGGAGGGAGGATGGGGATGCGGATTTGGATGCGGAGGTGCCGGAGGCGGAGGAGGGGAGTTATGAGCATACGGATACGGAGGTCGAGGATGAGAGTAGTGATGATGGGGGCCTTGTGAGAGGGGGGTTTGGGAATGGAGGGCGGGGGTTGGTGCTGGGGGCTAATGGGGGAGGGGTGTTGGGGAGTAGTGTGTTTGGAAGCAGTCCTGTTAGGACGGGGAGGAGGAGTAGTGGGAGGGGGAGGGGACGAGAGAATTGACAGAGATAATGGTGATCTCTGCTAGATTGGCTAGATCGCTTTGGCTGGCTGGCTGGCGAACATGCATTCTCTTTGACGGTGGAAAGCGATAGGCAGGTGGTGTATTAAACTGCTAGAATAGTATGGCTTCAATTGCCCTTATTTCCGTAGATGCAGATCATTATGATAAACCCACTAAACATGAGCATCGCCTTTTCGCAATGCTGTCGACGCCGTGCTTATGCAAACTCTCCCAGAATCTTCCTTATGCATCTATATCTGCGCCTCATGTCCTCCCCACACTCGAGTATATCCCGTTGAGTTCCTTTCGTTGCGTCACTCTCCTCTTGAACTAGGCTTCTTAGAACAGCCAAACATAAGCAAAGACCAACCACACCGCCACGAAAAACCCAAGCCAAACTCTCCACCCGACGCCCGTCTTCTCGGCCATCCGCAACATGCGATTCATAGTCCCTCGTAACCGCACGCGTGTGCTGTCGAACGAGTCATTCATGCTATCCGCCATGGAGGAAGAGGAGCGGATCTCGTCGCCGATGGAGACGGTGATCTGTGGTACGTTAGCGGGAGACTGGAACAAGGGACGGTGAAAGGGGGAAGGGAGGGAGAGTGGAGACGAACATCCTTCAGCATCTTCACCTTGGCACTTATGCCCTCGAGGTGCTGGTCATTTTGATTTTCGAGTTCGGAGAGTACGGCGTCGCTGTATTGACCTCTGAATACCAACATATCATCAGCCTCTTGCTCTACCTATGCCACTGCTCCAGTTTCCTCCTCCCCTTGCAATCTATTGCCTTTCCACCCTTCTCTTATAATACCCTGGCGCCATTTCTCCCCAAGCAATCCCGCCCAATCCCTACATACCTCGAATTCGGCGTAGCACTTCGAAACGCCCCATTGACCTGCCCCATCCCGCTCCCACCGGGCCCCATGCCACTGCTACTCGACCCCGCGTAGCCATATCCGCCCGGTGAAGCGCTAGCAGCTCGATTTCGGTCGCCGGTGTAGGAGTCGAAGAGGGCGGAGCGGGGGTCGCGTTGGTGGAGGGCGGAGGTGCCGAATCTGCTGGAGACGGTCATGGTGAGTTAGGCTATAGAGAGAACAGAGACGTAGTACGGAAGAATGGGAATACCTTGAGGCCATATTTCTGGAGGGGAAAGAGGGTGCCTGGGGGGAAGCAGAGAGGTGGCCTTTGGGGGATGAAAGAAGGGAGAGGCAGCAATTGTGGAGAGAAATACTAGTGGATCATGATGCGGTTGGATAAGTGGTGCATTAGATTGGGCGAGTTGGAGAAAGGGAGCTCGGCCATTGCGATGGGGAAGTGATTGGTGCTCGCTGAATTGTTGCGGGCATTAATTGTTGATGGCAACTCAACAAAGCTTGGCGCTCTTTGACTGTCCGTTTCACAGCCATTTTCCATTCAGAGGAGCTTGGTTCAATTGGATATCATCTTATGCTATGAGCGAATCGATGCTCAAGAGCAGCGAGCACACAAATCTGCTCGGCGCATTCCAGCGCCCATGCCAGCAAATTTCAGAAGAGAGTCTCTAGGCTCATATATCTCCTTATGAACAATGCAAGTAACAAATGCTTTTTGCAGCTCCGTTTTTTTGCACCGCTGCCACGATTCTATGCAAGGCAATCGATCCACGGGTCGCGCTCCAGCTTCCAGACAGCGCATGCCGTCGATGCTAGTCCTAGTCCTTCATCTCGTGGTCATCCTCCTTCTCCTCGAAATCGTCATCCTCCTCGTCATCATCATCGTCGTCCAGCTCGTCGCCCGCCTCCTCGGCTGCCTTGGCAAAGTCGATGGACTTACCGCGTGTGCGCCGGCCACCACTGATGATGTTGTCGGTGTCGATTTCCTCCATGTTGTCTTCGTCTTCTTCTTCAGCTGCAGAGACACCGGCGTTAGCGATGTGATTGGTGTTCGGTAGGGTGGTTATGGAGAGGCTTACGCTCTTCCTTTGGCTATGCGCGAAATGCGTTAGCGACAATTCTGAGAGCGTATGCCATTGACAGAGACGAGAGGCGCACCTCATCCTCAGCTCCAGTCTCTTCGTCCGAGCTGCTATCGTCCTCGCCCATGCTCACATCATGAGGCGCATCGGTTGCCTTGCCTTTGCCCTTTCCCTCAGCGACGGTCTGGGCGGGATCACTCATGGTGCCGCCGTGCGTGGGGTTGGTGCTGCTCATGATGGCAAGGATCAGGTTGTGACTTTATGTGGCAGTAGGGTATTGGCGCAAGGATTGGAGTATCTGCGGGTTCGAGGTCTGGTGTTGAAAGGTGGTGAGCTTGCGGTGAAGGCGACGAGGTGGAAGTGGTTCACTTCGCGTAAGAAGCGCGACCGGGAAGACGTGTGGAGCTATATCTGTAGGGCTGATTTATGAATTGCAAATTAAATAAGAATGCTTGGCAAAGCTGATTCAGCTCCGCCTCCGACTTTTTGTTAGCGCCATTCATAGAAAATTGTAGAGAACGTATCTTACTTGCCACTCTTGTACCAGCCCACTCCATATTTTTGAAGCTTCTGTATAGCCCAAACACGAATACGGTGGTGTTGTAATGCCTCGGAATACCGTCAATTCTCGTCAGACGGCTAGGCCTTGTGGAGGGAGACTTATCAGCATACTTATGCTCTGAAACGATTAGGTTAGGGAGAAGGTCATAGAGAAGGTGGGGATTTTGATTGATATTACGTAGTATTTCATTGTAACTACTCTGTTATCTCCATAGTCAAATGCTTCAAATCTCGTTCAAATGCCTTAATTTCGCCGTCAAATATTTAGCCTATAGTGCTCTGCTTGAAATGCTTCACCGCAAATCTATTACAGCTTTGACCTTTCTTGTGTATGACTTCAGCCTGTTTTAGAGCCCTGCAGACGATGGACTTGTGGACCTCGACATCCCACTCCTCTTCAAGAACCGCGCCAATTGTCTTGATACAGCCACGACTTTTGACGCTGGTAGTTAAGAAGAGCGTCTAAAGCGCAGGTGGAGGCTGCGGCATCGCCTTTGTGTATGAATATACCTATCACGAGGGACCACGGTGTCACCATAGATAGCAGGTTCCGCTCCCATCGATACGCCGTCGTACACTGGAACAGGCATCCGCAGCTACGGCTTCAGGTCGCCAATGGATTCGAGTAAGAGTTGGGCACGCTGGCGTACAGAGGCTGGCGATGTGGCTATTACACGCCTAAGTCAGAGACAAAACATAGGAAAGCGTGTATCCCACTAGCTTCGATATCACGAATATTTAACTGGGTAGTAGACGACAGTGGCTATTGCAAGAGTGGCAAGTACGTTCTCTACAATTTTCTATGAATGACGCTAACAAAAAGTCGGAGGCGAGCTGAATCAGCTTTCAAGCATTCTTTTTAATTTGCAATTCATAAATGCCAAGACTAAATTGCGATCGAAGGGTTTCAGGTTTTGCGAGTCCGCTTTGTCTTTAGATGGATCCGAGAAGATGGAGCCTTCAAGACTCCCACCATCTTAGATTCTAACAGAATACATGCCGCTTCATAGTGATAAGGTGATCGTTCCATCATTCGATCACTACTGCAACATGTAGTGCGAAGTGGGGTGTGTGTGTGTGTGTGTGTGTGTGTGTGGAGAGAGTAGTCGATTATTGTGCAGGACCGGCATCATCAAGGGCCCAGAGCAGTGTCCACTCTCATCGCTAGCTAGTTACATGTATCACCGCCAAACGTGGAACCCCCTACGCCGCATTCACGATCAATTGACTGTGGTGCGGAGGTGAAGGAGCAATAGTCTTAGATGGTCCCCGTTCCCCCTTCGCTCTTCCCCTTTTCCCCTTCTCCCTTCGCTTAATCAATCATTGTTATCTCGCTTTACTCGTTCCCACGGGAGGAAGATCAATTCTTCTCATGTCGTGAGTGAACGTTTAGGGTTGACTTCCGGAAGAAGATACATCGCTCTTACAACGTACACGTTCTCGGCGTCTTTTGCACATTCTTACTGAGCAACAGTGGCATCTTGCATAAATTTAGGAAGGTATGACTCATAAGACTCTCAGCACTCACAAAGCCGTCTTGAGTGTCAAGGCCTCGACAGTACATGACGTACTCAAATCAGATCTACATACATCAAAAGATAACGAGCCTGTACCGCGAGCGATGGGCCTGGTCCCCACGTCGTACATCATTTCCTGGGCTTGTTCGACTGTGTCAACAGCGTAGACTAGTTCGATGTCCTTTTGTGTCGCAAGTCGTCGCCGTAAGTGCCCGTTCCGCCTGCGAAGCACATCCGCCACGCTGTATCCATCAATGAGAGGCGGCTGAGGTTCAAGCATGTGCTCTTCCAGCTCGATGACTTCAAGAAGCAGAAAGATCCAAGACTAAAGGACATGTGGTTCCCGGTGAGCATGCAGACATTAGAGGAGGCTGGGAACCTCAAGGCAACAAACGTTTGCTATCCGACATACCCTTGGTATAGATGATCCGCGAGATCGAGCAACCGGGAAAAGGCGCTAACGACTTGGCCATCGACGATGAGAAAAGGTTGGAACTTCTATACTCTAGTCAAGAGGCCACCCGTCCTCCGACAAGCTCGCCTTCCGCTCAGGGACTTCTTGGCAACACTTTCTGAGATGGTGGGTGTTGGGTTCGTCTCTTCTCCCCACCACTCCTCAGACAGGTATACTCTCATATACCACAAAAATTCTATCATTCTTCACCTTCGAGCTCGAAGAGAGTCACTGGGTTCCACGCTACTGGCCAGCTAACCTCGACGCCAAAAGGAATATGCCAAGATACGCAGCAACCCACCCCAGTGAGGAAAATCTATTCAATAATGGTGCTGTGAGAAAGGATCAGATGCTCCATGTCGATGGTGATGCGGTGCCGCGTTTGAGGCTGAGGCGCGCTGAAGAGGTCTGCGTTGCCTTCGCTGTTGGCGTCAGGTCTTCTGGGCTCTGAGGCGGGAGTTCTAATGAGACACATGTTTTGAGGATGTTCCTGGTGCGCTGGTGAGCATTGTTTTGTTTTTGGTATAGAGAAACTTGTTTAGAAGCGGCTTGGGAGGAAGGTACTGAGAGGGTGGGGCAGAAGTACCTTAAATTGTCTGTGGGGAGAAGGAGGCCCGTCTCCTTCTCTGTACGCATCAAACCGTGGGACATTGGGTTGTGAGTTACACACTCATGCATTTTGACTCGTCCTCGGAACTCTTGCTGCCAAACCTCATGAAATTGTCAGAAGGGTGTCCGCTGCTTGTTCCCAAACATTCTCGGCAAGAATTGCGAATACTCAATGATACGTAGAACCAACGTATTTCGAGAGTGTTGAAGCGTTTCTGCGGTGAGTCAAAAGAGGAAGGATTGCTCGACGTTGATCACCTTAACATCATCTGCATCATTTTGCTATCACGTGAAATATCAACCATGACTACATGTGTTCTTCACAGAACCGCCTTCAAGTGGCCAGCCCTAAGCTTTGTTGATCGCGGTCCCACTAGTGTACTCGCTTCCCATCTTTTCACTCTTGCCACCCGGCACTCAACTTCGATCCAACAAGTCACGATCAATTGTAGTATGAACCCGTCGTTCCTGCGATCACGGATCATATGCATCCACCAGCTATGAGTTCTATATCAGTCTATGGCTATGATTCGGAAATGCTCGCGGTCTCTGACTCGCTGTACTTTCACCACCATTCTGGAGAGAACCGCCCAAGGCTGAGCAGCTTCAGGCATCCCGGCCCAAAGGCTGTCCGTTCCTCAAGTTGCCTTACGAGCTGCGAGCCCACATATACAATTATGTGCTGCCTAGCACAACAGACCATCCGGATCGTGGCATCGTCTGGCTCCGAGCAACTGCAGCCATATGGGCCACGAACCGCCTGGTGTACAAAGAATGCATCAGGCTGATGTACGGAAACCCCACCTTCCTCATCGACATCAGATTCGATAAGGCTGAGTTTCTCTACCAATGGGTTCTCCCCCAAAGATCATTAGTACCAAAACGCGTCTTCAATTTCCCAGATCCGATCGTTGCGCGCTATAGGCCTTTGATGCGCAAATTCTATGTCAGGGTCCATCAGGTCGACAGCTACACGGGCATGATTAAGTACAACTACAGTAATCCTGAGGTACTAGCTCGAGGTCTCAGGTGCCAAGTCAACATCTTATGCGCTTTCCTGAAAGAAATGCATGAGATCCGCGAACTCCGCATAAGCTACCATGGAGGCAATGAAGAAAGTCACACGATCCTGCCGCTAGTTATGGATCCTTTCTGGCAACTGAAAAGGACTAAGAAAGTCACCGTGGAAGATCCTGGGCTGGTAAATGAGGCGCTTAGGACGAGGTTGCAGGAACATCTTACGGATGCTTACACAAAGAATTCACTCATGCGCCTCCCGTTGGAGCTGAGAGAGCATGTATACCGTCACGCGCTTCCGCATACTTTGAGTACAGGAACGGGCGACAAGAAGGTCATTACGTGGTATCCAGGGGATATTAGCATATTGGGCACTTGCAGACAGGTCAATGTTGAAGCGACGCGTGTGCTATATGCTACGAATGAGTTCGAGTTCAGCTGGATGCTTAAGTATCCGTCGGAACATGATTGGCAGGAGGAGGTGTCGAACTGCTCTGACTACCTGGAGAGATCCAAGTCGTGAAGACATCTCAATGAAGGGCCTAATGATCGGCGTTTGTGAACAGAGCGGCTTGTGATTCTGAGATTGGACAGGAACATTGAGGCCTTAGGCCTTCAGTATCATGGCATAGTTTATCACGTAACTATCTCTCTTTCCGCACACTAACCACCCAAAGTCGGCAATCTCCACGTACAGGGTCCTTCGCTTTTATCGGCCGGCTCCGACAATGTGATATCCGTTGTGGCTAATAGGATCAGCGCTGTATGGCGCGTCTCCTTCCATCACCGGGAGCACAGCCCACTGTAGTACTTTGGCGGCACTCCTCATTGTGCGAATCGGTATCATCCGCTGCAGTGACCAGCTGCTCTTGACCCTCCTCCCTACCAAATTTGCGCTCTTGCAGCAGGTATCCTTCGTACTCTCCAGCCGAGTGATGGCTCCCCCCAGCCGGCGAGCTAGTCTTCTTCCGCCGCACTTGATACTTCTTCTGCCATTCTTGACATTCCACACGGTGCTCCGAGTTACCCTCGGAGGTCCTTCAATCAGGAATAACCCCAGAAAATCAAGGCCAACGAATATCGTGGTCACGGCTATCGCTGCGGATACAATGAATAAGACATCTTTCACGATGATGAGAACCAATGGCGGACCAGTGGCGGAAGCTCAAGTCGTCGAAGTCGGCTCTGGTTGTGTTGGACGCCATGACCCTGAGAGAGAGAAAAGCGAAATGGAACATATTGTTCAAGATGATCATGTGCTAGATGATGGAGTTTCTTAGTTTTTTGGAGCTCTGAACATGAGGCGGACGATGCCAAAGCCAAGACGCTAAGCAATGTGTTAAAGGTATCTTTGGCAGACAAGTATTCGAGTCCTAGACGCCGGGTCATTGCATGTACTCGATCCCGCCTCGACGCCTGCCGGCGGGCCTGCTGAGTCCATCGCGGCAACACAGCACTTGTCTGAAATGTTGGAATGAAGTCGGTTTTCCTTCCATGACCTTGACCTGCTGAGATAGACATACAACATGAATCTACCGGCAACCCCCGAGTTCTGACCGCTGTGTGCATTCTCTCCATTTTCATTGACACCGCGTTACTTTCAACGTCGATACTCAGCGTACCTTGCGCCATCCTTCCCTCACGCATTGCTCCCCCGTCACGCCGTTCGTATTGCAAGTTTGGCGGGTATGAAAAGCCAGCGAATCCACTGTCTCTAGTTCAAGAACCATGGAGCTCTATGCTATCCGCGGGACTGCTGTTGAAAGAAATAAGCGTCGCGTGTCTCCATCTTCGGTCACTGGCATAACAACCTACCGTCATAAGTGGGCGGCGCTTCCTCTCCATCCCTTTAAGTACTAGTACATTGACCTCATTCTCGGAGGTTCCCGGCTGCTCCGCAGCCTCCTCATCGCCAATGTCACGGTCTTGCACCAGGTGCTCTTCGACGGAGTCCTGGCTCCCAGCCGGCGGGTCGGTCTTCCGCTGCGGTCTTTGATATTTCAACACGATGCTTCAAATCGCTCCGACTGTTAAAACACCCAAAGCGACAACGCCAAGGAGTATCGTAATCACGCCCGCCACTGCCGAGACAAAGAAGAAAGATATTTTCGACAAAGTAGAAGACAACCGCCGGCCAGTTTCTGAAGCTCCAGTGGCTGAGGTTGACTGCTGTTGCGGTGATTGTATTGGAAGCCACTTCGAATTTTCAAAAGCAGAATTTCCGCGAAAGAGAGAATTATGGGGAACCCAAAGGTTTTAAGAAAGCAATTTTAAGAAAGCAATGAGGGGAATACCCGAAAAACAAGGCTGCGGCATTAGTTGGGGACGCCAGGCGATGCATGCACTCAACCCCACTTCGGCGCCCACTTGAGGCCTTCCCTGCATATTCTAGCCTACGACATCGCAGAACCCATCTCTTTTTATGAGCCTCGTTCGTGGTCACGATACGCCCGCCGTAACTATGTGATAAAATGCTGGTATGCCAGATTCCCGTTCGTTATCAGGGACCACTTAACGTTTAAACCCCATATCAGAGCGGTGCTTTACCCTTCATATGCCGCAGCTTGCGTTGAACCTGATTTACTACGTTCATTGCCGAGTATTGCGTCTGGTCATTGTTCATTGAGAGTACATTTGTCAACATCGAGCTTGTCCCAACGGTAAATTTGAGAAAAAAAGGGTTTTCTGAGAGAACGTAGCAAAAGTCATGCATAGAAGGCGAAAGCCGTCAACGCAATTGTAGGAGTCCTACAACTGCCAGAACATAGTGACCATTTTCACAGGCTTCTCCCAAGAACCGTCATTTTATTTTGAAGGGAGAAGTTGTAAAAGTCGTACAACTGAGACGCGGTGCCAGAAAAGAGTGCTAGTTCTCATGCGTTTCCGCTAAAAATCGTTTCTATTTATGATTCCTTGATAGGGAAGTCGATTTGTTTTGATCTGTATCCACAGGAATATGCGCAAATGGAAAGAAGGAGAGATACTCCTGTTGTGTTTTGAAACTCTCTCTATGCATGACTTTTGCTACATTCTCGTACAACTCGCCAGGCCTCAAGGGTTACGAACTTGAGATTTAGGGCTCGGGCGATGACTGCGCTACCATGACTTTGTAAGGTGGCGAGAGACAGGAATGAAGGTCTAACATGAGGACTCAACCCCAATGAAGAGAAATCTTTTCGGACATTCAGGTAGCCGTGAACTCATCCAGATTTCAACTATGGGATGGACCGGTTTTGCAATTCGCCGTAGAAACGACTGGCAATTTACGTATTCGTCCCAGCGCCTGTAAGTCTGCTGTGATATGACATCTTGCCACGTCTGGCACTTTTAATGCCTATCCGGATCGCCGAGCCTCTCTCCCATTGTCCCCATGAGCAGCTCCGAAGCCTTCCTGGAACACCGAGTTTCGCAGCTAATTTCGACATGTCTGAGCACATCCAAAAGACGCGGCCTCGAGTTTCCCCCCTTCCCCATCCTCTCAAAACCTCCTACACAGATGTCAGCCTCCCATCCACCACATTGATCAAGAAGAGACAGCCGTACCACACCCCATCAATAAGGCCGCCGCAAATACTCCTCATCCGTGTCATCTCCAAACTCCAACCCCGCACGCTCTTCACACGACTCTCCGTCCTTGAATCTTTCCTCTTCCGAACTCGCCCGCGCAAACAAGAAAGATGGAGCCAGCGGACGCCCGTTTCCGAGGAATTGCCAAAGCAGGCAGGCGGCGGTGAATATGGAGGCGAGGAAGCCCAAGGCTAAGAGGACGACATAGGCGCATTCGAGGAGGATGGCGACGGGGCGCGGGACGTCGACGAACTCGCCGACGACTTCGCTCGGCATGGTTGAGGTGGATGAAAGTGTGTTGTAAGCAGGCGAGGTGTAAGTGAGATGTTGGTGTTGTTTCTTGTGAAGCTTGGAGGTTTCTTGTGAGTCGTGATGAAAGAGTCAAAAGATTACAAAAATCTAGGAAAGGACACTTCCTTGGAACGACCTTCCAGACTCCATGTCTAGTTCGCGCCGTGAGAAGATGTGCTCTGGGCTTCGATTTAGTGAGCAAGATTGAGCAAAGAGTCTTTCCGGGTGGCAGTCCAACGGCTCATTGCTTGGTACACCGCCCTGATCCCTTGAAGGCTCCGAAGAGATTCACATGACAACCGTATACTCTGATTGTAAGAAAGCGCCTTCATCAATCAACACAATTTCCGCCGCAATGTCCTCCTTCCTTGCCTCCACGTCCGTCGTCCCTTGCATTTCCAGAATTGCTCTATTCCCACGACCAGCTAGACCTGTAGCCTTAGCAGGCAATGCCAGTTTCCCGGTAGAGTCTCTAGCGCAGTCCTGAAGAGACTCAATACCGCCCACTACGTCTCCGCTCGAAGACGTCGGTCTCGCTGATCTCTGATAGCCCTCACTTTGGCTCTGATGAAGAGATAACCGATGAACAAGATGATCGAGACAGCTATTCCTAGGACAACAACCGCCAGAACCGCCCAAATATCCTCCCAAGGTTCCGCTGTCTCTGGGTAATCGGTGTTGGGAGCACTTGATGTGGTTAATGCGCTGGTAGTTGCACTCTCGGGCCATCCTACGAGGGCGATAGGGGATCGTGTGATGCTGTATCTATCGGCGGTAGGGTCTGCAAGGAGGCTGATTGTGGTGGAAGACATGTTGGTTGGGTTTGTCGAGGGTAGGTATGTATGTAGCCGTGTTTTGCTGACGACTTGACTGTGCGTTGCGCTTTATGGAAAAGGATGGCAAGGGACAGTAAGATGAGCTGAGAAATCGACTGCCCGGGAAAGCTGATGTACATCATGAACAAGACAATACTGATGTTCACGAGCCCAGGCTCTTAATAAGCCAATCCAACCAAAAGCCTGCGTGGGTGAGCGCATTTGAGGCAGTAGGATCTCCCGAGCGGTGGCGCCGACTCGTCGCAATTTCTCTCGCCAGTCATCGAACAACAAGATGGAAAGAGAGGAGACAAACGCCGCAGTATGCCAGTGAAGCGTACTTCACGATCCTTTTGGTGTATGTGATCAACAACGTCCTTCTCCCACGTACAATTCCAACGCCATTACTCCCTCAGCGCCCACATCCACGCCCCGTACACCCAAACCACAGCCCTCAATCGCCCTTACCCCCATCGCATGAATTTTCAAGAACCCACACCATTTCCCTGCTTACCATTCCCACTCTCTTCCCAACCCGCAACGCCCGACGCGTTCCATGGTGCAAGCTCTATCGCAGTCTCCTCATCCTCCGCGGCCCGACGACGCTCTCTGCGCTCTCCAACCTTGCGGAACAGTTCAACGAAGCCTCGAGCGATAGCAGGAGCGATTCCGACCACAAGGACCAAGATCGTGATTGTAGCCGCGATCATGCCCAGTAGCTCCAAGTAGTACTTAGTCGCGTCGAAATCGTTTTCGTCGGTGTGTAGAAGAGGGATTGGTGTCGCTGTTGGAGAAGCCATCACGATGGTGACGGTGGCGGACTTGTTGGGGGTGTTGCTCTAGAGCAGGGAGTTGATGGTTATGGATGATGAGGTTTGCGTCGTCGGTCGGGATCTTGGGAATTTGTTGACGAACAGAGATTTAAGAGCTTTAGATAAATCGTAAGAGACCCTGTCAAAGTGCATTATGTCTAATGAGCCATTGAAAAGGTTGATGCGCATTGGAATTTTGGCGCTAGACACGAATCCTAGTTGAACTTGCTCAATCACAACTCGAATGGAGACTGATATAGCCAAGACATCTCATTGCAGTCCTCAGAGCGCCCAGACGCAACACCAGCCGACAACTGGCCCATTTTCCAACTTGATTTATTCGGTCACTTGCCCATCGAGCATGTTGACACTCGAATTCTACAGCAGACCGCTGAGAGATGGCGCAGGTAGGAGATATTTTGGGGTCGGCTCTCGCTCGGGACTGTGGAACTTCGAGAAGCCTGGTTGTGGCCATTCGTTTGAGTGTCTATGTTTTGCCGTTGCTCGAGGATGTTGCAAGCTTGATCGTTGCTCGAGGACTGGGCATTGACAAAGGCTGGGTTTCGTGATTTCCGAAGTGTTTCAACATACTCAGCAGACGCCACAGGATATCGCATCCATTTCATTCTTAGTGACCACGGGCACGCTTTGGTGTACCGTTGTTACGATAGCCGCAAACCTTCTCAAATTGGTACTCTTGCCGAGTTGAAGAGGAATCCTCCGCCGTTAGCCGAAGCTCTGTGGGGGAAAAGTCATAAACTTATTTTGAGGCAACCTAGTATCAGCGCGGTTTGCAAGGATGTGGTGGACTGAGGGATGTCACTATTTACAGGTGTGAATATGTTGTATTGGGAAACTATCTTCACCGAAATTGTTCATTGAGGTAACACCGAATTTTTTTTTTTCCAGCACACACGCACCAAATAAAGGAGATCTTTTCACACCACAACCCAAATTCGTATTGTAGCATAGAAATCTCTCCCCAAATTCATTCAGATCAAGTAGCCACATCGCAAATAGTCGCGTTTAATCAATTTTGAAGCTATACAAACCTCAGCCATGCCTCCCAAACGCACCAAAAACGCAGTAGCCACCGAACCGCCGCCATCGCCGCCTCTCAGGAAGAGCCTCGTTTGCAGTAGTGATAACTCGACGAGGGCGGCCGTCGGATAGGGCGTAAGGTAGACAACCCATAGTATAATATATCTATAAGCGCTGATTCCAGCTATAAACAGTAGTAAGAGAACAGCGGATTTTTTAAAAAAAAAAAAAAAAAAAAAAAAAAAAAAAAAAAAAAAAAAAAAAACCCCAAACATCCTTTCCCACTACTCGCCAAGCCGCATCTGATCAAATCCATATTTCTTCCGAGGGTCCCCGGTAAAATTAGGCATGAGCAGCGCATCCAACCCTCGAAACTCGTCACAGTCGGTTTCTCTGTCTTGCGTATCGTCTTCTATATAGTACATTGCATCCTCCTCTCGTTGCAAGCGACTTTGGCGAGGTTTCTTGTCTTCGTCGTTGTCCTTTGAATAGTGGGTGATGATGAAGGGGTGGGCGGGGTGTTTGGGTGGGATCTGGGGTTGGTGTTGAAGTTGGTGTTGAGGTTGGTGCTCTTCCTGATGAGGTTGGTGTTGTTTCGGGTGTTGTACGGTATTGATTTTGGTGTTGATCCTCCGGGTCAACTCCCTGTTCTGCCTGCTGTTGATCTCGTTGTTGATCGTTGTGTTGGTCCTGGAATTCGGTCCCATGTTCACCCTGGTGCTCAGCTTTTTTTGGTCGATGAGCTCAACCTGGCGGTGGTCTGCTCCCCGTTGCTTTCGAGGCAGCTCGACATAGGCATTCGCTCGGTCTCGGCGCACTCCCGCAAATACCTCCTTCACGGCTGCCAGATACGTCTCGACATTTCCGAGAGAGAGACCTCGGATGAGATTCTGATTTTCGTTAAACAATTGGTGTATTGGGTCAGGCTCAGGAGCCCGTACCGAGGTGCTTGATGGTACCGGTGCTTCGTTGATGTGGTCGTTGGTGTCGGCTTGGGGCCCAGGCTTAATAGCAGTCATGATCGAGGGATTTGGTGCTGGTTTGCAAAGCTTACTGAAGAGGTTGACATGGTAGTCTGGTATGCAGCCGGAGGTACCGGCCATTGTTGCGTGGGGAGTCTTGTAGATTGTGTCCCTGGTAGGTGCGTATGATTGCTGTCGGTCTTGCCGTTCTTCTGAGGTGGTTTTTTGGTTTGATTTGCGGTCTTCAGTGATGCTCATTGGGAATTTTTGATATTCGGAAGAGTTGAGATCGGGAAGGTGGATGGGAGCCATTATACTCTCATTATAATCCACCATATAAGATATTTCATTTTCAATATATATTGCATTTCATTATATTCTCAGTTCCGCTGACTCATCCCTTTTGATGCGCAAGTTTTTCCAAAGGACTGCGCAGCCAAGCGTTTTCCTCTGCCCATGCTGAAATTTGTCAGATGAGTCCAAGATCAGTCAGTCGTCTGTACCCGTGAAGACCTAATTTGCTGCTTTCGCCGGTGCTGAGCGACGATAGAATAGCTAAATTAATCGGGTAAAAGCATCAACTGCCATAGCTCCTCAAGTTTTCAAGGAGTTCTAAGATGGTTTGGTCGATCTGGATCGGGTGGTAGGAGGATACTGCAATTCTGAAGATGGCAAGAAGCTCTTCAGTGATTACTACCTTCTCCAACCGGAACTGTGTTTGTCACTGGTCGTTGGAAGGCGGCGGGTGGGACGGTGTGCGTTGGGGGTCCCCGGGGTGAGGATTAGGGGTACGACATGGAGGCCTGAAAAGCTTAGGTGATAGGTGTGTACATTACGAGTCTAAGTCCCAACCCTTGCCCTTCATAACGAAAGCTGTCTTTCCTTCAAACCTATTCCATAATCTCCAAAAGCGCCATTGTGAGCCACGAATTGATTGAGTCTCCGACCCGCCCGTACCGAACTTCCTCATCGCTCTCCAATGGCTCAACAATGTCAGCGTGCATCGTCCTCCGCCGTCAGAACGGAGGAATGAAGACTCATCACTCGATTTCTTTGCTACCGCGAGTACATAATTCTGGGACGATTTGGGCAGACTCCGGCACGTTGGATTCTGGCAATAATCGCGGCGACCTAATAGCCTGCCACTGAGGCGGACGAATAGCTATAGAGTGTCATCAAGCATGAACGAAGCGAGAATACGGACTGTGGAAGGTTGGCTCAGAGGCTAAGGCAATGCTATCTAAACCGGAAAAGAAAGTGAACACGTTTTCCCCCCCCCCCATCACATCAGTGGCGTCTATCTCGAAGTGGTCGTTCCCAACACCGCCAGAAGCCAAAGGCATGCCAAAAGCCTGAGAGAGAGACGACTCCTAGCAATGCGTCCCCCTCATCATCTCGGCAGTCAATTAGGCGCAGGCCGTTCCGGGAGACATGCATTACTGCTCCCATCTTCACCCTTCGCATCTTCAGCCGCCTCTTCCCTCTGGCGCCGAACAGCCGCATTCTCATCAAACTCCCTAGACATCATCGTCAACACATGCTACGAGCCAGGCAAGCAAGCAAGCAAGGACACAATGCACACCTCCCATCCGCATCACTCACAACCAGCGCCCCCCTCACCCACCGCCTCTTCCCCTCCTATTCCTTTGCCGCAGCCACCAGCCCCCGCGCCAGCCCCACCAAGCCCGCCCCCAACAGCGCGGCAGCCACGACCAAGATCGCCAGGCCGAGCCCAAAAGTGACGACGATGATCACGATGAAGAGGGCCCATTTGAGGCACGCGAGGACCGCGCCGAGGAGCCCGAACGTCATGAAGAGGCTGGAGGTCAGCGCGGTTGGGAGGGCGCGGAGGAGGTTGGCGAAGGTGGGGTCTTGCCGGAGGGTTTGGAACGGGGTGGGGGTCGTGGCGGGTGCGGAGGGGAGGGGGGCGGGGGATTGCATGGCTGCGGATGGTTTGGGAGGTGTGAGGGTGAGGAGGGGGAGGGGATGGTTGGTTGTTTGTTTGTTTGGTGGATGGGAAGGGATGGGGGAGAAGGAAGTGTGGATTGTAGGCCGTGAGGGGGATGAAGGAGGAGTGCAAGCTGAGAGGGGGTTGGGAAGGGGTTATAAGTCCGGACGGGACA